ACGACATGTGCGCCTGAGGACGCAATCGGGCCTGAGGACCCTTGTTTATACGACCACGACATGTGCGCCTGAGGACGCAATCGGGCCTGAGGACCCTTGCTTATACGACCACGACATGTACGCCTGAGGACGCAACCGGGCCTGAGATGGCCTGAGGATACTTGTTTATATACGACGATGAAATGTGCTCCTGAGGACGCGATCGGGCCTGAAGACCCTTGTTTATGCGACGACTGTGCGCCCGAGGACGCAATCGGGCCTGAGGACGTTGTTGACAAGTTATACGACAATCGACATGCGCGCCTGAGGACGCAATCGGGCCTGAGGACCACTGTTTATACGACGACGACATGTGCGCCTGAGCACGCAATCGGGCCTGAGGACCACTGTTTATACGACCACGACATGCACGCCTGAGGACGCAATCGGGCCTGAGGACCCTTGTTTATACGACCACGACATGTGCGCCTGAGGACGCAATCGGGCCTGAGGACCCTTTTTAGCATACGACCACGCCATGTCCCTGAGGACGCAATCGGGCCTGAGGACCTTTGTTTATACGACCACGACATGTGCGCCTGAGGACGCAATCGGGCCTGAGGACCACTGTTTATACGACCACGACATGTGTGCCTGAGGACGCAATCGGGCCTGAGGACCCTTGTTTATACGACCACGACATGTGCGCCTGAGCACGCAATCGGGCCTGAGGACCCTTGTTTATACGACCACGACATGTGCGCCTGAGGACGCAATCGGGCCTGAGGACTCTTGTCTATACGACCACGACATGTGCGCCTGAGGACGCAAAAGGGCCTGAGGACCTTGATAAACGCACAGAGAAATGTGAGCCTGAGGACGCAACGGGCCTGAGGGCCCCTTGTTAATTACTGACTCGTACACGACATGTGCGCCTGAGAACGCAATCGGGGCCTGAGGGACGCCCTTGTTACTAAGACCACGCTGCATGGCAGACCCCTCCGAGGACGCAATCGGGCATGAGGACCCTTGGGTATACGACCACGGACATGTGCGCCTGAGGACGCAATCGGGCAGGAGGACTCTGTTTATACGAACCACGGACAGCGCGCCTGAGGACGCAATCGGGCCTGAGGACCCTTGTTTATACGACCACGACATGTGCGCCTGACGACGCAATCGGGCCTGAGGACCCTTGTTTATGCGACCACGAAATGTGCGCCTGAGGACGCAATTGGGCCTGAGGACCCTTGCTTATACGACCACGACATGTGCGCCTGAGGACGCAATCGGGCCTGAGGACCCTTGTTTATACGACCACGACACGTGCGCCTGAGGACGCAATCGGGCCTGAGGACCCTTGTTTATACGACCACGACATGTGCGCCTGAGGACGCAATCGCCATGTGCGCCTGAGGACGCAATCGCCTGAGGACCCTTGTTTGTACGACCACGACATGTGCGCCTGAGGACGCAATCGGGCCTGAGGACCCTTGTTTATACGACAACGACAATCGGGCCTGAGGACCCTTGTTTATACGACCACGACATGTGCGCCTGAGGACGCAATCGGGCCTGAGGACCCTTTTGTTCATACGACATCATACGACCACGACATGTGCGCCTGAGGACGCAATCGGGCCTGAGGACCCTTGTTTTTTACGACCACGACATGTGCGCTTGAGGACGCAATCGGGCCTGAGGACCCTTGTTTATACGACCACGACATCTGCGCCTGAGGACGCACTCGGGCCTGAGGACCCTTGTTTTTTACGACCACGACATGTGCGCTTGAGGACGCAATCGGGCCTGAGGACCCTTGTTTATACGACCACGACATCTGCGCCTGAGGACGCACTCGGGCCTGAGGACCTTTGTTTATACGACCACGACATGTGCGCCTGAGCACGCAATCGGGCCTGAGGACCCTTGTTTATACGACCACGACATGTGCGCCTGAGGACGCAATCGCCTGAGGACCCTTGTCTATACGACCACGACATGTGCGCCTGAGGACGCAATCGGGCCTGAGGACCCTTCTTTATACGACCACGACATGTGCGCCTGAGGACGCAATCGCCTGAGGACCCTTGTTTGTACGACCACGACATGTGCGCCTGAGCACGCAATCGGGCCTGAGGACCCTTGTTTATACGACCACGACATGTGCGCCTGAGGACGCAATCGGGCCTGAGGACCCTTGTCTATACGACCACGACATGTGCGCCTGAGGACGCAATCGGGCCTGAGGACCCTTTTGTTTATACGACCACGACATGTGCGCCTGAGGACGCAATCGGACCTGAGGACCCTTGCATGTTTATACGACCACGACACGTGCGCCTGAGCACGCAATCGGGCCTGAGGACCCTTGTTTATATACGACCACGACATGGGACCCTTGTTTATACGACCACGACATGTGCGCCTGAGGACGCAATCGGGCCTGAGGACCCTTGTTTATGGGACCACGACACGTGCGCCTGAGAACGCAATCGGGCTTGAGGACCCTTGTTTATACGACCACGACATGTGCGCCTGAGGACGCAATCGGGCCTGAGGACCCTTGTTTAGACGACCACGACATGTGCGCCTGAGCACGCAATCGGGCCTGAGGACCCTTGTTTATACGACCACGACATGTGCGCCTGAGGACGCAATCGGGCCTGAGGACGTTTGTTTATACGACCACGACATGTGCGCCTGGCAATCGGGCCTGAGGACCCTTGTTTATACGACCACGACATGTGCGCCTGAGGACGCAATCGGACCTGAGGACCCTTGTTTATACGACCACGACATGTGCGCCTGAGCACGCAATCGGGCCTGAGGACCCTTGTTTATACGACCACGACATGTGCGCCTGAGCACGCAATCGGGCCTGAGGACCCTTGTTTATACGACCACGACATGTGCGCCTGAGGACGCAAGCGGGCCTGAGGACCTTTGTTTATACGACCACGACATGTGCGCCTGAGGACGCAATCGCGCCTGAGGACCCTTGTTTATACGACCACGACATGTGCGCCTGAGGACGTAATCGGGCCTGAGGACCCTTGTTTATACGACCACGACATGTGCGCCTGAGGACGCAATCGGGCCTGAGGACCCTTGTTTATACGACCGCGACATGTGCGCCGGAGGACGCAATCGGGCCTGAGGACCCTTGTTTATACGACCACGACATGTGCGCCTGAGGACGCCATCGGGCCTGAGGACCCTTGTTTATACGACCACGACATGTGCGCCTGAGGACCCCATCGGGCCTGAGGACCCACGACCACGACATGTGCGCCTGAGGACGCCATCGGGCCTGAGGACCCTTGTTTATACGACCACGACATGTGCGCCTGAGGACGCAATCGGGCCTGAGGACCCCTGTTTATACGACCACGACATGTGCGCCTGAGGACGCAATCGGGCCTGAGGACCCTTGTTTATACGACCACGACATGTGCGCCTGAGGACGCAATCGGGCCTGAGGACCCTTGTTTATACGACCACGACATGTGCGCCTGAGCACGCAATCGGGCCTGAGGACCCTAGCTTGTTTATACGACCACGACATGTGCGCCTGAGGACGCAATCGGGCCTGAGGACCACTGTTTATACGACGACGACATCGCGCCCGAGGACGCAATCGGGCCTGAGGACCACTGTTTATACGACCACGACATGCACGCCTGAGGACGCAATCGGGCCTGAGGACCCTTGTTTATACGACCACGACAATCGGGCCTGAGGACCTTTGTTTATACGACCACAACATGTGCGCCTGAGGACGCCATCGGGCCTGAGGACCTTTGTTTATACGACCACGACATGTGCGCCTGAGGACGCAATCGGGCCTGAGGACCTTTGTTTATACGACCACGACATGTGCGCCTGAGCACGCAATCGGGCCTGAGGACCCTTGTTTATACGACCACGACATGTGCGCCTGAGGACGCAACCGGGCCTGAGGACACTTGTTTATATACGACGATGACATGTGCTCCTGAGGACGCGATCGGGCCTGAAGACCATTGTTTATGCGACGACTGTGCGCCCGAGGACGCAATCGGGCCTGAGGACGTTGTTGACAAGTTATACGACAATCGACATGTGCGCCTGAGGACGCAATCGGGCCTGAAAACCACTGTTTATACGACGACGACATCGCGCCCGAGGACGCAATCGGGCCTGAGGACCCTTGTTTATACGACCACGACATGTGCGCCTGAGGACGCAATCGGGCCTGAGGACCCTTGTTTATACGACCACGACATGTGCGCCTGAGGACGCAATCGGGCCTGAGGACCCTTGTTTATACGACCACGACATGTGCGCCTGAGGGCGCAATCGGGCCTGAGGACCCTTGCTTATACGACCACGACATGTGCGCCTGAGCACGCAATCGGGCCTGAGGACCCTTGTTTATACGACCACGACATGTGCGCCTGAGGACGCAATCGGGCCTGAGGACCCTTGTTTATACGACCACGACATGTGCGCCTGAGCACGCAATCGGGCCTGAGGACCCTTGTTTCTACGACGACGACGACGACGACGACGGCGCGCACGAGTTCCTGATAAGGAGGGCGGTATCTTCAGGTGTCTCACGGATGAGGCCCTTAAGCAAGGATCTGCTTGTTTTGGAGGACCCTTTTCCCTCCAGCATCTTTGGGGGCAGCAGCGGGAATGTTCCGTGATCGACCTTTGAATTGAACATCCCTGCCGACCAACATGCACGTGCCTCCGGCCGCCATTGGTTAAGGCTACCAACACGGGTGACGGACACGCATGTCTCAACCAACGATTCACCAACCACGGCGGGGTGAACGAGCTCAAACAAGGTCTTTCAGTTGGGCTTTCCTACGCAAGAGCTCGCTGAAGATATGCATCCATCCACCAAGTGCGGCCTTGTACGCCGCATACGGACGGTGAGATAGACATCTTCATCGAAAACGGATCCCGGCATTCCTAAACCAGGGACTCCAGAATGCCTCCGAACCCTGGCATTCCCGGACTGAGCGAGATACACGATCGAGTTCACCGGGTTGACGACCATTCCCAACATGGCATCCGGACCTCAACATGGTCTGACCCGGATCGAAGCCGCAGCTGCGAAACTCTGAAAACTTCTGCCGAGCCCTGCAAACCCCCCGTGGACGATTTCTCGCGGTCTCTCGGAGGAGATACATGCGTTTACGTAGTTTGTATGCTTTTTGGCAGGGTATCGAGCTATCGAGCCCAACAGTTCAGGCTTTCGTGACCCAAGGTTGCAAGAAGAACACACGCTGACATCCAAAAGCCCGGACACGGGGATCGCTGGCGGTTGGAGCTGAATACCTGAATACCTGTAAGGACCCAGCAGTACTTTGCGCAAGCTTCCACAATGCCTTTGGCAATGTCCGCGTTCACCTGTCACCCACGGTTTGAATCCCAACGAAGAAAGGAAGAGAACGCGGAAGGGCTCCCGCGCCAGGGCCGAGGCTTTGGGGAACAGCACGCCCCGGCCCTCGCCTTGAAGAGGTCATCGCGGGTCATTCCAGGCTTCCTGGCTCAGATGCGGCGGCTCAAACAACGGGGCCAGGCCAGGGCTGCTCCCGGTAAAGAACGCCCACGATCTTTCAATCTTTCACTGCGCTTCGCTGCTGCACCCGGCCTGGGCATGCCAGCCGGGACGAGGACCAGGTGGCAGCCCTCGAGGCACCTCGGAGGGCCCGGGCAGCTCCCGCAGAGCTGCCAGCATCCCAGGCAAAACCGCAACTTGTTGCTAGTCCCCTTTCTCCAACGGGTCATGCACAGACCTTGCGGACGCAGTGACTCTGACATCCAGTTGAAGAGCAACACACACTCAGACACTCCCGCTTCTCACACTCCTCTCACACTGACGCGTCGGGGCACTCCTTGAGGTTGTCGATCGGTTTCGAGCCGACCTTTCCAAGCCAACGAGGCCAAAAGCGCTTCGGGCTGTCGGGGGCTCCCTGAGCCCTGGTGAAAGGGATGCAGGAACCTTAAGGAATCTCTTGGATCATGCTCTCTGTCCGGGCCCGCGGGAGCAGGCTGAAACACACTTTATCGAAGGGAGTCCTGCCTCCATGACATAGCCTTTCACTTCGCTCTTCCTGGAGGAACCCAGGATGGCTCGGGATCCGCTCAGCTCAAGTTCATTTCGGAGCGAAACCTCCTAAGGCTTCATTCAAAGCAAGGCGAAAGCAGCGAGGGCCTCTCCAAGTGGCCCAGGTCCGCTGCGACGCCCGCAGGTGGCACCTGCATGGCTTCTTGGAATTTGTGCACTTTTTCGCATCGAAGGCTCTTTCCAAGGTGTTCGGGATTAGTAGCCTCACGACGCCTTCCACGGCCAAAGGCGAGGATTTGGTGTGTGTGTGTGTGTGTGTACTGATTTCTGGTTACACCTGGCTCCAGAATCGACCCTTATGGTGCACCTTTCTTGCCCTGCACTACTTACTACTTCTCAAGCTAAACCGTCGAGCTGCCTTACTGACCTGGCCTCTCGTGAAGCAAACACACACCCGCCATACCAGCCCTTCCGAAATCCTCACCCCCAAATTTCGTGTGGGAAGCCAAAGCATCGGTCGGTCAGTCTCTCCGTGTCTGTCTGTCTCTCCGTCTGCGAGGATATGTGCATCTACATGGCAAGGTGCAGGTATGTCATGAATGTACATACGTATGTACGTATATAAACAAAAACGGACATCGGCTTTGAGTGTCGAGCCTCTGCTGTAACTGTAACCTCGGGAGTCTCCAAACCCGAACACAAGCGCTGGAAGCACCATGGCAACGCTGACGTCGAAGATGCACAGCTCCTGCTTGCACTGCCGAGAGCTGGGAAAACCCTTGAATTGCTAAGGGCTTTCTGTGAGCAGAAGCAGCTCCCAATCAAGGTTCAGCACCAAAAAGATGTTCTGAGAGCCTCCACACAAGGGCAGGTGCACAAGTTTAGAATGTGGTCTTTCCATGCTTTCTTCCAGGGAGTCCCAACCCGCAACCGATCCCACATCAGCGAACAGTCTCCTTGACATTGGGGTCGAGGGCCATAAGCATCCTGAACAGCCGATTGAGAAGGGCTTCGACGAAGGACAGAGATGGGATGAGATGCACGCAGCTTCAACTGCTACGATCAAAGCTACAAGACTGAACCGAAGGCATTGCATGCTCTCCTACGGGACGTCAGAGTTTCCGATGGCTTTGCACGGGTCCAAGACAGTCCAAGATCCCGAGTAGTGCGGCCCCGGTGCGAAAGCGGCTGTCCAATTCCACCGGAGCCGCCACAGACGCACACCTGCTCTCTGCGGCTCAGAGACTGTGTTCCCCCCCCTCTCAGTTTACATCTGCATCACCACGGGTTGCCACCCGGACGTGACCGAGGAAGCTCCACATGAAACAAGTCGCCTTGAAGTTGCCGGCAGACTTTGCCTCCTGCGGCCCCGCGCTCTCGAGCAGCGACGTTTTTCCAGGAGCTTGGGTGTCAGCGTTTGCGTTTTCAGAGGCTTCAGAGTGTCTGGATGTTGCCAGCGTGGCTCGGACGGTGAATTCGTTTCAAGTTCACACGGGCGTGGAGCTCGAGAGGCTCAGGGAGTACCTCGTGATGAACGGTATAAGGGAAGTGCTGATTAACGTTGTCGCTGCGTTGACGAGTGGCAATGAGCTCTTAATACTGCGCATTGTACCAAAACGCCGGACCCATGTCAGAGTCAATGATCTCTGGCCTGAAGCGACGGAGTCCAAGCCACCCACCCACACACACACACACACACACACACACAGAGACACAGAGACACACACCCACCACTGGCGGGAAATCAAATCCTGATTGCAAAAGCCGCACGCAGTGAACCTCGGAGCCGCACACCTCTGAAAGAAGCCTTCTCCAGTCCACACCACTCCGGAATTTGCGAGGGCCGGCCGAAGCCGAGAACCGAAGCACACCCCCCCGGCCCACAGAAAGCCCCCGGGCTGCGGTCCGGAGCATCCTTGGCCTTAGCCTTGGCCTTCACCTTCGCCTTGGCTTTGGCCTGCTTGAGCCGGGCGGCGCGGGGCGTAGGGCGTTCGGAGACGCAGAGTTCTGTGATGGTAGCGACTCGCGCCTTTGGCGCTGGAGGCTCCGCCTTCTTCTCGGCCTTCACCTTGGCCTGCAGAGGGTAGGGCAGACCTCCTTTTCTGAAGCTCCCATGTAATGTCAGATGTGCTACCAGCTACTACGAACTCTGCTACGTACATGCATAAAAGCCCCATGAAACCCTCGGCATCCCCTCATTTCGGCCAAAAACTCGCACTCAGCGCCTTCGCCTTGGGCTTTGGTGCTGGGGCCGCGGGCGCCTTCGCCTTCTTCTTACCTCGTGCAGTCGAGCTGGAGTTTTGGGGTTTCGGCGCACGACGTAGGGTTGGAGCAAGTTTGAGGGGCCGGGTTATAGGTTATAGCATGCAGGGTCTAGCGGAGTGCGATGGTGAGCGGGAGAAACGCTGGGAATGCCAGATTGGAGTTAGGCGCGTGACCCTGCAATCAGCCTACTTGTCCCATTCTTTACAAACAGACTTTCGATCTGGAGCCTGTTTCAAAGCCGATGCCCATACCTGAAAATCCGAAGCCCATGCAAGCGGGTGGCCCTTCTTGATTTCGCACTCCTCCCAGTAGGAGGCAATGACCTTCTTCTTGTACCTGGAGCGTTGAACTGATCTCAGGGCTGCTCCTCGCACCCTCGACATGAAGTGTGGGCGTCTCCCCGTCTTTCGCTCACTTCCCGATCCCAATCACGGCCTGCGAAGAGCCTAAGGTGCGGGCTTCCCGGCGTAGTATTCCGAGAACTCCTCCCACGTGTACCTCTGGAGATTCTTAGAGTGGACTGTAGGGAGCGGGCCAGGCCTAGGACCTGACACCTGAAGCCTTTAGCCGAAGTGATTCTGGAGTTGTGGCCCGACCTGATTCAGGTCTCGCCACTCGGGTCTACGACGTCACTGCAAGCATCTAACAAACGCCAAGCCCCGCAACTAAGCCCGAAAATCGCAAAGCAAACCGAACACCTGTGGCTGACCACAGCCTCACGCTCCTGCCATGTTCCATGCCCATGCTCCCCTCCTCTCTCCCCAGCCGCTGCGCACGCGACTCCGTCCTCCGGGTCGATGCGGCGCTCGGTCATCGCGGCCTCGAGTCGCGCAGTCGGATTCTCGAGCATCTGAACTACTCCATGCTCCGATGCTCCCCGCTGCTTCGGGATCATACGCAAAATGCCGGTCGTAGTTCAAGCTCTACCATGCCCTAAAGCACCTCCGCAAAGCCTCTCGGACTCCCGTCCGCTAAGCACGGCGCCAGCAGTTGTGCGAAGAGTTGCAGGGCAAGAGAAAATCAACGCTTGGAAGCGAAGGAAGCGGCTGCGGATGTGCAAGGCCCCTGGTGTCATGCTCGGGTATGAGGTCTGTCCGAGGTCATAATGATGTAGCAGTAGCACATGACGAGGCCTTTCTCTCTTCTGCAGATCCCTCTTCTGACTCCTTTTGTGGCATTGTAAGGCGGAGAGTGGAATGCTTCGGCCAGGACTTGAACAACCCAAAACGCGCATCAAGAGTTCAGTGCTGAACTTTGCGCCCTTGTCATTGAAACGTGGCCACCCCTATGCAGGCACAAGAACGACAGTCTCGCGGTTGTCCGTGTTCTTGCGTGGGGCTGCGGGTATCTTAGTGGAATCGAAAGCTCCCAAGCAGTGATACTCTCGAAGCTTGCCCAAGGGCCAAAGTTGTACTTAACTACTCTATCGTGACAGGCCAGCATGTCCAGCTCCTACCGCTGTACACCAAGCGATATGCTATACAGAACGGTACAGCCTGCACGGCGTCTGCTTTGACTGGCTCCCTATTCTGCGGCAAACCCGTTGCAGGTTTGCCTCTAGAGACACCTTCTCTGACACTGCTCTTATCTGCTCTAGCTTGTGCAGGCTCATCTGAGTCCGTCTCAAAAACCTCGCAAGATGTGTGTAGTGTGGTGCGACGGCCCACTGCTGGGTGTTGAGGCTAGGCCTTGCCTTGCATGCCGCTGGTTCGCTAGGAAAGAGAGCATCCCAGTCAAAGCCGCTGCCACAAACGGGCTTGTTGTGACCGAGCCGTAGCAGAGGTTTCCAGAGCCACAATGGGTGAGTTCTGAGGTTCGAGTTTCAGGGGGAGTCTATGGCCCCTTAGCTGCTTCATACTTGATCGCCCCGTTCCATGCCCTTTGCTCAATTCTTTCTTGTACCTCGAAGATTCTTCACTGTCCTCTCACGCTTCTACCACATTCTGGCCCCAATCGCTCTGCCACGGAGTGTCGAAGTCCAGGTCGGTCGTGGGCGAAAAACACCAGGGTTTTTTCGGGGAGGTTGCTCTCGGAGTTCGGAGCCTCGGGGTCCAGGGCATTAGGGTTCAGGGTCTTAGGGGTTTAGGGGGTTCAGGGGTTTAGGGGGTTTGGGATTTAGACTCTTGTGGAACTTTGGGTGAACGTTGCGGGATGAGAAGAGCTGCTGCATTCCGGGCTCTAGACTCGGATGACGGCTGTGAACATATCTCTCCAAGCACGGAATTGGGCTGCAAGCTATCTTGGCATTCGGACATCTCCGACCAACCCAGACCGTGGTCTGAAAATCATGTGCCGAGCATGCCGAAGGCGCCAAAATGGACACCTGCGCCGGGAGCAAGACGCAGCTGAGACATTCCAAGCAGCTGCCTCCTACTGAGAACCACTGACCCAAGAAACGACTGCTGTTTTGCACACTTGTTCGAGACCGTCGACGCTGGACGGGTTTGAGTCCAGGCTTCGGACATTTCAAAAAATCCCCACAAGCCAGGTCCTCACGAGGCACTGTCGCAGGTTACAAACGCTCTGGCGCACTTTGATGCTGGACCGGAACTAGACTGCCCGGGAGCAACCCAAAACACGCCGCACCCCTTTCAAACCCTGTCGCACCCTGACAAGCCCATGACTTGTAAAGACTGGACCCCGACCCACCCATCCGAGCCTCACGGCGCTGCACCCTGCCAGCCGAGGGCCCACGGCAGTCGGCCACCCGAACCATGCGCCCGGGAAGCCATGTTTGTGGCGGAGGCGACTTGAGAGTGAGGCACTAAGGACCTATGGGGGGTTTTAAAGGTTTTGTCCGGGGCTTCTGGGGGTTGCGGGTGTTTTGAAGTGTTTAACAACACGAGCTAGAAGTCTTGCATTTCTACATAGTGAAAATCCTAGAAAATAGTTAAACCCTCGGACCCCTCACAGCCGCCTCTTCACCACCAAGGCTCACCCGAAAGCTCACTGAGCCGTCCCTCTGCATAGAGCGGCCGAGACCGTGGGCAAAATGCTGGCACTGTGCCACAGGGGAAGGACATCCTCCAAACGAGCTGCTTTGAACCCTTCTTCTGACACTCTGACCCTGATCCCCAAGCAAGAAACATTCATAATTAGCTGATTCTTTTTTGCCCGAAAGATGGAGGCCTGAAGGCCGAGAGGCCTTCTCTCTCCTCTGCGGGGAGGTTCCTCCCTCTGCGCGGGTGCCTGGAAGTGCGGCGCATGGCCCGCTGCTCTGCTGCTCAGGGCTCAGCTCCGCTTCCAGTTCATGAGCTTCTCGACCAAGCCGCTGTTTCCTGAGGGCACGTCGTCCATGGATGATCTGGGGAAGTCAGGGCGATAGTCTGAGTTTTTTGGGGCGCCGCAGGCCTTCTGCACTCACGGACTTCAGGATCTGCTTCAATGACTCCACCTGCTTGTCCTGGCGCTCCTGGCAACGTGCACATCCAGTGTCAAGGGCTGGAGCGGACTTCACACTTCCTACTCACCTTGGCTAGGTGGGGTGGAGGGGCATTCGATGTTCACGTTCTTGCTGCCTGAAGCCCCCTGAACCAACCGATTTCGCTCCCGTGCCTAGACCTAGCCGCTCAAAAAGGGCGAAACTATGAACGAAGGTGCTGAAACCAGGGGGCGAGATTTTTCGCTCATGGAAACATCAGGAAACCTCCAAGCCTAACAGGAAGCCGAGCCTAGATACTCTGTGTTGCCGAGCTTCTGGACCCTTAAGAACGTAACTTAAATACATCAAACAAGAGAAACCACGGACAGTGGAGAAACTGCCATGACGGGCTCTTCCACAAGATGGGAGCCTTTAGCTTCTCGGGCCAACTTCTACGAGACGGCGGCCTGTGCTGCGCCCTTGCTCAAAATGCCGATTGCCTCAGCTTTGGGGGGCGAAAGCGACGGGAAGTTCTGCGAAGCTCCCCCGTGTGCCAAGGCCGGGGCCTTCCTGCCCAGCAAACTTCCGATCTTCTTCACCTGGCAACGAAGCGGGGCCGGGCAAAACGCCCCCCCCAAGCCAAGTCCACCTGGTCTGAAGGCTTCTTAGCTTGCGTGCCCGGACCTCAGTCATATCCTTCCTGGGAATGTCGCTGTAGGACCTGAGCCGATAGGCCCCACTGGCTCGTGTGCGACGAGCTCGGATGTACTTCAGCTAGTCAGCTAGCGCTATGGAGAGCAAAGAGAAGCCAAAAGAAAGTCGAACAACGGGACGACGAATCTCGCGCAGCACAGCACCGTCCCAGTGTTGAGGAAGTCCTAATGCAGACACCTCCAAATTGGAAGTCACCAATGCAGCAACTACGGCATGGCTTGAGCACGAGCCTCTAGCACCCCAGTTTGCTTGAAGCTGCAGGACCCGTAGAGGGTCTGGACTTTAGAAAGATGTCCCAGCCCTGGAAAGCTCGGATTGCTGCGCTTTCTCAGCCTCCGGTGTCACGCAGGCCGGCAAGCACTTCCTCGGGTGTGGGAGACTTAAGGCATTCGGAAATTCGGCTTTTGAATTCCCGGTCTCGCCTTTTCTTCCCTCCATCCTGGAATGTACAGACATGCTTGGTGCTGGTCATGCGGTTACCCGGCGCTGCTGGTTGAGGGCTTTTGGGTGCCTGACTGGGTTGCGCAATCTGTGGCATGGTAAACCGGCCTACGTATTTTTGTTATATATGTTTTATATGTAAGCTTATTTAATTGTCCGTCTATGTATGTGTATATCTATATAAACTGTGTGTACATATATGTATATATACATCTATGCATACACGGTATATAGAATACACACACATGCATGTGTATATATATATATGTATATACATACATTATACCAGTCTCTGCAGACTTTGGATCGTGGCTCCAGTGGTAGACCAGCCAAGACCGGGCCGCAAAGAATAAAACATCCCAACCCCCGCCCTACCATTCTTGCTACCTGGCTCGCCGAGAGAATGACCGAAATGCAAACTAGCTTCGAGATACCGACGCAAGAGCAGTTGAACTCTCCCACGATCCACTTCTCGTCCTGCACCGCACTTGAACCAGCCCTGGCAGTCCTAGCACTATGGAACCGACGGGTTCACGTCATGGGAAGCCTTCATGTACGACGGCAAGAAGCAGCGGGGCCAAAACAAGTTTAGGAGAACTGAAGTAAGCCGCAAGCAACAGACCCCATGCTTCCAGCACAGGCCAAGACCCGAACAAGCGCAGCACAGATTGCCTTCGGGTCGGTTCCCACGGGGGAGGAATTGATGAAGTCCGATGTCCACCACAGTGGGATTGGCTCCTCAGTGCAAGCTTCAGCTGGTCCGAGAGTTCCCCGAGCCTGAAAGGGGAAGGGGCCGAAAACATCCAAAGTGCAGCTGCAAGTGATGTGAAAGGTTGTCTCGCACTAGTGACTAGTCTCTTGAAGCCTGCAAACAGCTATGGCAGCTGTCGCTTCCCACCACCGGAAGGCAAAGCCGCTACTCTGCGATGCTGCTCTGCAACGTACGATCAGTTTGAGACCCTGCCAGCGATCTGCGAGCTCAAGCGCAGACCTTGAACCCTGCAGGACTCAAGACCCTGTCCATCCCTGTCCCATGACAAATGCCACCCGCTAGATCCGCCAGATGCGACCCCCTTCCCCGGCTATACCGCTCACCGCGGATGGCGTTGGGGACAGGAGTCGGACTCCAATCCCAGGGATGGCATGATCTTCGACCTGGGCTCGGAGGACTTTACGGATCTTCACTCCCTGCTGGGCCACATGCTCGCACTTAGGACTTCCGATCTGAGGCTTTCTAACTTTCTCGTGACTTCAGCCTTTTCTCTGCCTTGACGTTGCTGAGGACAGGTGTAGGACTGGCATAAAGCGATGCAGTACTCTACAGTACGATTCAATCCCGAAGCCCGGCACTCGGCAAAGTCTGAGAAAGCCATGCAACCCGGATCCGGTCTATTGCCGGGGCACAGGTCGTCGGTTAGGAAACTCTTGGTCAAGCCGGCGAATTTCTTCTCCTCGTGCATTTGCGCACTCGACGAGCCGTCCGTCGGAGAGAGAGAGAGAGAGAGAGAGAGAGAGCGAGAGAGCGAGAGCGAGAGCGAGAGCGTGCCGCCAGTGGCTCTGAAGAGCAGAAGCCCAAACCCAGGAGCCGCCCCCGCCTTTGGACCGTAGAAGGTGTAAACGGAACCGGTGCCGCCGACAGCGCTGATTCCACCTGACACAACCATCCCGGGGCTGTCACGCTTGGGCGTCAGAAACCCCCCTAAACTGGCATCTAGGGGCTCTTCAGGTGGGAACATGCTGTCCGGCCTTCCTTCGGCTTCTTGTGGATGATGCCAACCAAGGTATCCGCCACCTCAGTTCTTGGCACCCTCAAGCCGCCTTCGAAAGCCGAAAGGCTGCCTTCGCACCTTCGCCCACATACATAACATACATAACATACTAGGGCTGCTGAGCTGAAGTGTAAGTGTTAGTATCTCGTGTCATGAACTTCCTGCCGGGCAGCCATGTTGTAGCGGAGTTCGCCCTCCACAATGCGAGGGCAAAAGCCTGGATCCAGGGCTTCTAGATTCTAGAGTCAGCGGGCACCCACATCCGGTTCAATGACTGTCCGAAGTCCTCACAAAAGCAGCCCTTCCTTGAAAATCCGAGCGACGGGAACCTCATGTGTAAAGCCTAACGAGCTGCTGCCGAGGGGCGTTGATCGACGAGCTGGCCTCCGGCATCTTTCCCTCCCTCGAGGTACCTTGAGCTTACTTGGCTTACTTGGGGCTTTGCAGACCAACCCAGTTGACACCCACCTCGAATGGATCCAAGGTGCTTGCCGACGCCCTTGGAGGTCCACTCGCCCGACTTGCCCGTACGGCCGTTCACCTCGGCGGCTTCGGGGGTCTGTCGGGTGCCTTGTGGAGGCAGCTCGGGGTTTGAGCTTCTCACTTTGGGTCCTCTATTGCCGGGAGCACGTCAGGACGCTTCAGGGCACATCTCTGTCCAGAATGCCCCTGGCAAAGCCAAGCCCAAGGGGCACAGAATTCAATGAACTGTGCCACAGTGTGCTCCTCTGAGTGGTTGTCGTTCGCCTGCCAGGGGAGCGAAGAACTACCTGAAGGCACATGAAGGCATGGCATATAATATCTTGACCCCCGAGAGAAGCTGTGGCCTCCATCAGGTCTAAGACCTCATCGTCACCGCACGAGCGCTCGCCGTAGGTTTTGCCTCGGCAGTATGATGCGTGGCCCAAGATGCGAGTGCTCAGCGAATAACGGAATTGAACCATCTGGACTGTAGAGGCTGAGGTGTGTGTTTGGAAGCTTCCGGCTAAAGGTTGCGGCGAACCATTCCATGTGGGACCAAGACATCTTACTGGAGACTCTACACTTCGCTTATACGAACCACCGAGATTGCTTGGCCAGGCCCTAAAGGCGCGACTCTCAAACTCCCACGCGCACGGCGTCTCGGTACGGCGTCTCGGTGCCGGGTGGCAGTAGTCACCTGACTTGAGCTTGATGATCCAAATGCCTTCTCCGGAGGACCCGCGGTTCCTCGGTGGTTGGGGGAACCGAAGAAACAAGGCAGTGGGCTACGGCGGCTACGGCTTTGTGGAGCCAGGCATCTGCTTGATGACACGTGGCTGGAATGCCATGGTCTTCTTGAAACCTCAGGCATATGCGGCATATGCTTACAAACGACCTTCGAACCTCTTAAGTACCCCACCACCACAGCGTCTGCGACTGCCGCCACTGCTACCAACCGGAGCACCAGAACAAGCAGCACACAAAGGCTTTTGCAAACACAGCCCTTCTCTGCCTGAAAGCAGGCTTAAACATCCGTTCGATGCACCGAAAACTTCTCCGGCCTGCTGCAAAGACTGCGGGGTCGTAGTAGGCCAGGGTATCCTCCGGATCGATCTCTGGAGCGACAGTGACAGCTGAATGGACGCAGGAAAAGCACTGGAACTGAAGCCCTACGTCTGCGTCCTCGAGCCCAATGTTCAAGGTCGCGATCTTGCAGAGTGCGTCCTGTAAGCCGAGTGAGGCACACATGCTCCAATCTAATCGACCGTCTTCTATGCCTTGGCCCCCATGAACTCCATGACATCAGGGGCCGGCCACACCTGCTTGCGCAGAGCAGGGGGCTGCTTGAATCACATGTTCCGTTATGTCTGCTTGCTGTGGGACTATGATTGTACTGCTGCACTGCTTGTATGTGATCGTGTCGCCTCACACTTCGCCAAAACATGTCGCATCGTGCCGTAACATGCAGCACCATCACGTCATCTACATGATGGGTCGCAAGCCTCGGCACATGTTGTCACATCTTCTATTCTGCTGTGCTGGGCAGAAAGAGTGAACAAGTCTGTTGTTGATACACCGCCAACCTGACTGCAAGTTTGGCCCTGGAGCAGCACCTGGATTCCCTTCTTGCGGATCGCACGCATGCCGTTGTCGAACTTGCCCTGGTCGCCGCCATCTGCCTTGATCTGTCCTGGCACAAAACAAGAGCAGAGACGGAAGGCGGCCATGAGGCGGAGCAGCTCCAGCTACCGAGCTGGGGCGAAAAAGGAGGCTCCTGGGTTGCATCGCACGATGATGGCATCGAAGTTCTTCACCACATCGAAGAACTTGTCATGCTCCTGAGCACAAGACCAGAAACCGAGGGCTTCTGCCCACGCGCCTTTTTTTGGCGGCACAGCCCCTGTGAGGCTTATGTCTCGTTTGCAGTGCCCTCCGGCACAAACATTCATTCGGACACCTTCCAGCTTACGGCCCAATGCTACATGAGGTGGAAGTTCCGAGAGGACTGGGGGACACTCGCGGCTTACTGCAACGCCAAGGCAAGCCCTAGAGCGCGGATCCCTGAACTCAAAGACCTTGCATCGAAAAAAGCACCGGCCGAAACAAATAACCACCCTTTCCACCCCACCCATCTTTGGCTCGGGGGGCCTGGTGCACGTAGTTGATCAGCTGGCAGCTCATACCGGCCTGATGTCGCCGATGCAACGGAAAGGAGTGCAGCAATAGCAATCACACAACTAAGACCATCATCGGCTCTCTTTGGGACAGCTTCCAATAGCCCGACAAGACTTCCAAAGGGGGAGCTTCAAGAGCACTGAGCTGCGGCGGGTCCTGGATGATGCCGTTGGCAAAAGCCATGCTGTCGTAACGATGGCCGTTGAAGCTCTTGTCGGTTCCACCGCCCCTCAGACATGCGAGGTTTGCAATCACAATGCTCTTGCAGTTAAAGCATTTCCATAACACGGTGTTTGCGGAAACTCCGCTCGTGTCAATCTGCCCTTTGTCAATTCCTAAGATCGGACTTGCAACAACGCGTCGCACGTCGGCGACGGGTCGCAAAAACGTCGAACCTCAGAGCCTAAACCCTGAAGCCTGCAGTCTTTTTCTCAGCTGCTACTTCGCCTAGGAGATCTAGGAGATGCCCATGCCAAATGCCGCCATCACAGACTTTCATGGCCTACAGCATATAGCAGTTTACAGCTGTACTGGTGTCAGGCGTCTTACATATGAAGATCGAATGTAAGATGAAGCACGAAAACAGAGTAGAGCACTGCAAGGCGAAACACGTACTTACAAGTTTGCATTGCAACATACCAAAATACATCTTTATCCTTACCCACCCACGCACCCACAGACACACAGACGCACACTCTCTTATACTTACGCTCCTGCTTACTTCCCGCTTCCAGTAGCGGCTCCCCGGCTCCGCCAAGAGGCGGCTGGCTGCGCACGTAGATGCCGGTCAAGGCCGTCTTGAACCTGAGGTCTCCGAAAATGACCCAAGGAGCACTCTAAAGCACTGCCCGCCTGGGCTTCCTCGGCTGTGGGAGCAGGCCCTGGTCATCCTGCCCACTGCCCCTGTCCCTTCCAAAACGACTCAGGACTCAATCGTAAAGGCTGGAAGAATAACTCGTGTGTCCCACCCTACCCCAGGAGTACAGCACGCGTCAGTCCTTCACCACCTTGGTGAGGGCGGAGACATCCACGGGACCATCCGAGAAGAACTGTCCGGCCTCTGCTGGCTTGCTCCTGGAGCCACACGCACACAATTCTTCGTCCTCTTCTTTATCTTCGCGCGCACGTTTGCCCACTCCCTGTTCTACTGCGGTTCTGCCACGCGACGCCACGCTGGATCACACACCAAAAGGCTCCCTGTGCTGAGAAACCAAAACTCCATGATTTTATACTGCCCAGTTGTGATATCTTCGTGCAAAGAGCGGCTCCGACCCCCCCACTGCAGCCTCTTCTTGGCCTCGGTGACCAGGATGTCCGTGGCCTTCTTGCCAAGGAGATCGCTGATGCGCTTGACCTGGGCGGCGGTTTCCTTTGGGTTGTGAAAACCCTCCAAACCGCAGATCCCTCACATCCGTCGCCTCCGAGAGGTCCTTCTTCGGGATGTCGGTGTAGCAGGCATTCGGAGTGTCATCCTTGCCTGCAAGAAAGAAGGCTTCGGAAAATCATGCGCCGCCGTTTCACCAGTTTCGACTGCGTTTGCAAGCTGCAAGGCAATGAGGACGTATATAAGTAAGAGGGATCTTTGAAGGCAGCACGGTCTTGGAGAAGTGCCTTTCGCTCTCCTTGAATCTCGCGCTCGAAGCTTTCGAACTAGCTTGCAGCCAATGCAGAAAGAGGCCTTGCAACCGCTCGAGACGATACAGAAACCTGAACTGTCCACTAAAGTGACGCTCCTCGAGATGGTGTGCTCAGTCTTATCTCGAGTTCTCGGGGTCGCGGTGTGTCTGACTCCCGAACCCTCCCGAAGCGTGAACCTACAAACCCTACCTAGGACCTTGGTTTAGGGCATCATCATCAGCCAAGGCGCAGTAGGCCGGCAGACACTTCGAGATACCAACGCAAGAGCAGTTGAACTCACCGACAATCCATTTCTCGTCCTGGCGTTGGAAGTCAGAAACTTCACAAAGCAGGGCTCTCAGAACAAAGCGTTGAAGCATGCGTCGCCTTCTTCCCTTCGCAAACGAAAGTTGGATGCAAACATACCGAAACAAAAACCCACTGGACTTCCTGGCGCGAGGTTCCACAGTCTAAATGGGGTGAGAACGGTCGAGGAGGCGGTTTGTTGTAGTTGGGCGTCCCTCACGCGGACGATCAAATAGAGGCTGTTTTGTCTTTATTCTATTGGCTACTCTTTGGCTGGGCGGTGTATTATCATGGGACTCCCAACAGCAGCACGCAATTTACGTAACCAAGACCCACATCCAAGAGAAGTTCTAGCTAATGCAGGTGCCCCCTGCAGATCTCTCAGACAGCTTACGAAAGAACTGACATTTGGGTCCTTGGCTTCCGTGCCCTCTGGGGAGGAGTTGATGAAGTCAGACGTCCACCACAGTGGGATGGGCTCCTCACAAACTTTCTGCGAGAAATGCGATCTTTCGCAGGAGCTCAGCTGTATCAATCACCAGGACGGGCTTCAAAAATGCATCCGTGGCATGTGAACCCAACCTTCAGTCAACGATCCCGACCTTCAATGTGGTAATGAACAGACGAAAGCAAAGGGCCTCTCTAGCAGTCGTTTGTTAGGGCTATGTTCGATTCAATAATGCCTCATCCTAGAGAGCCTCCAAAACCACAATTTAAGTGACAAATAAAGAATATTGGAATTCCCGGTTTGCAAATACTACGGCAAAACTCAGGAGAATAAGGGTGAAGTAAAGAAACACAGGAAGAAAATAAGGAAAAATAGGAAATGTAGGGAAACTGTCGGGGCACAGCAGAACACAGAAGCGCGAAATTGTTTATTGGAACTATGTCCGGTCCGTACCGATTCAACCGACCAGCGCTTGTTGGGGACCACAAAGCAAACCGACAACACAGCTGAAGTCAGAGCAATGCAGCAGCTGATATCAGGCAAGAAATCGCAGAGCCCCAACAAAACATCGAATTGGTCCAAAAATGCCAACAAATCTACCGACGGCTCCGAACCCCACACAACATCAAATGGGACACCCCATTCACACAAGCAGCGAAAAACGCGATCGACTCGCCGACGCCGGCAGCCAAGGACAAGTGTGAGAACACTCAAAACGATGGGCCCTCATCGACTTGCTCTCATTGCTACCAACGCCGAAACATGCAGAAAATCCGGGCAAATTCGTCGCGATGCTAGAACTTGCGGAGCACACGAGAGAACATGCACAGCCGGCCCCGCAACACTCACCGATGAACAGCCATTTCGCAAATGGCGGGAAACAAGGCAAAGTGCACCTGCGACGTGAACTGGAACAAGCTGTGCGCACATTGCGGGACTCACCACACAGATGCCAACCACACAGATGCCAACCATGCTGTGGCGCAATGCGATTAAGTGCAGTGATTACATCCAAAAAAGCTTTATTGCGAGTGGCAGAAAGAATAGCAGCGCGCGTGTGACTGCCTCTTTTATCGACTGATTTGACGAAATCTATGGCGAGCTTGGGACACAACAAGCGGGTGCCGTGAGAGAAAAATGCGGAGGAATACTCAGCATGGCAGTGACGACATGAGAGCAAACGAGCATGAAGATCCAAGACACGCTTGCCGGCATCAGCAGCCGGAGAGTTGTGCTTATCGACACGCTTGGCAAAGAGACGTGTGGCACCGATCTTGGCAGCATCCGACCGGGAAAATTTAGGAGCCTCACCCGTGTTTTTGAAATGCTGGATGGCACGAGCCGAAGGATCGCCTCGGGGAAAACGCCAAGATTAGTAGTTCTTCCTCGAAGGGCAATATACGAAGAGGACTGTCCTGCACATTACGCAACATTGGGCCCGCCACTGTTGTGAGCAGGTACGATGCAAGACTGCCCGGGTGACCACTTCGCAGTCTCAGGAGATAATCAGAGCCCCTCTGTCTAAACAGGCCGACCACTACCTGAGGCGTGAAGTAGTAGGAGAGTTGAAGCGCGGGTGGGGACTCCCCGATGATATGTTGCAGGATACCTTCTGTAGCGTCACCCAGGCGGTCCGTTAACGTGCCACTCATGGTCTTGGGTCGCCGCTGGCCCCGACCGTGGCTGGCACCACGCCTCCCCGAGAGCATCCCTCAGCGTCGGATCGCCTCGGGGAAAACGCCAAGATTAGTAGTTCTTCCTCGAAGGGTAATCCGGGCACCTGCACTTGGACTAATGGACCGACGCAAACATATCACTGTGGCCATTGGTTGTCCTCCACGCGTATTTAGGATGCGCCCGGGAACTGGCGATCAAAGAACTTGTGGTCCGCAGCAATATGCAGTCTTGGGCTAGCAGGTCCAGGCCATAATCCTTTTACAGAACGGACGTTTAAGCAGGCGGGGCCCTCTTCGCGAAAAGTGCCTCACCGCGGGCCCTGCTTGCCCCTTCCTCCCCCTGCCCGAAACCCCCCGTCAACAAACAAAAGCCACTGCCTTTGGACTTTGTGCTTACCCTTCCTGGATTCCCTGTCGTTGGAGCACTGACGTTGTCCTTGCGCGGACGAGCAGGTGTTTTGGCTCTGGCAGCAGGCTTGGCAGCAGCACTTGGACTTTGGAGCTTTTGCGCCAGCGCACGATTGTTATGCATGCTGTAGCAATGACTGGGAGGGTCAGAATCAGCACTTACCAGCCAGACACCGGTCCTCCATGACCTTCCGCTGGCACTCACCAGGAAGAAACTTGCCGGGACGCAACCCCACAATAGGGTAGGCGCCATCCCCGCTTCGCGACAGCTTGTAAAACCCAAGGTGTACGAAACAGTTGGGACGCCGTAAGCCCAGGCCACGTTGGCCGACACAGCAGCACGGGTACCCACATCTTCGGCAAATCTTTTGGCGGCTCCCTGAACTGAACGCTTTGCACTGCAGATGAAACCGTTTGAGATGATACATAACCTGATGTACGTTCTTGAAGGTCTCGCTGATTTGACCATTGCTATGACGTCCGTGCTCAGGCACTCTTGGAGTTGCAGAGCTGGTGGTCTTGTTCCTACCACGACCGCTGCGAGGCTGTTGGCTCACCGCTCTCTTAAGGCAGGCTGCAGGGATAGTTGGATCTCTGTTCGTACCTGTGCTGCCGGAGGGGAAAGCTGAAGGGTGGATTATGACTGGACCGCTTTCTTGGCAAGATTATGCTCGTCTTTCAATCCGAGGTGCACATCCTTCAGGACTGTCGATTAAACCTACGTACACGCAGCGGTTGGGACAGCCTACCGACGTCACATCTAGGGACGAAGCAAGGGCGGGCTAGGGTTCTAATTTTTTACATTTCTGTCCTATTTTATCTTTATTTCCGTCGCTCCCCTAGTTTATCCTGTTTTGGACTGTTTGCGATCTGACTAGAGTTAGCACAAGAGCCGGACATAATTCTAGGGAGCTCAGAGCCCCTGTCGCAACTGAATAAGGATTTCAGTTGATCCCTACTGTTCTGTGGGGCCTATATCAAAGGTTCCCTGATGTTCTGCCACCCCCGTCGTTTCGAACTCAGGAAAAAAGTGTCGGGTCCTCTCCCAGGCCGAGTGCTGGCATGATCTTCCTTGGGTGGCGGCCGCGAAGGAAGCAGGGCCCTACAAAACCAACTTCTTGAGAAATCACCAAAATCAGCACAAAGTATGAAACCCCCCACAAACATCGGCCCTTAACAACTTTGGGTCGGAGATCGGGGACTTTAGGGGTTAAGGAAAAACCCGGGCTCCGAACACATTACTGCATTGATCAAACCATTAGAAACGGTTGGCAATGCCGACAATGCACTATGCGCACCATCAAAATGACAGTTGACGAAACTGCGCTGCCCACTCATGCCTCCAGACTCCAGAACATGGCCTTCACAGCTGCCGCGCTCACAGTGCTGCAGAGTTTCGGCAGGTCGTCCTTGAGGAAGTTGTCCGTCAGGTTCCTGAGCGGCAGAGGCAAAGCAGCGATCCATCAGGCTGTGCTGTGTCGCAGCTTCGGCGTTGTCCACAGAAGAACGCCTTGAGCCACAAAATGCATCAATTAGCCTGACTTTGAAAATCTCGGGATGCAGACCGGCAAACCGCCGACAGGATGCTTGGCTCCTCTTACGGCACGGCTTCAGCTTAGGATCCCAAGCAGAACGCAGGACTTGGTGCCCGTGGATTCCGCTTGTGCCAGTGCCCTACGGTCTAGGAGTCTGCATGCCCAAGGCTTAGATGCCGGTGGCGACTCGCAGGGACTCACGTCCGTGCTGCTCTTAGTTACATCTGCGGAAGCTCTGGCAAAGCACAAAACCGCGAAACCGCAACCATCAGCTCGAGTAGACCCGGCCGAGGTGCTTGAAACGCTTCTCCTTGGGGCCGTAGTAAGTGTAGACCTCACAGCATAACTCTTTTTGTGGAGAGCCTTGGGCCTTGGAAAAAAAGGGACTCGGGACTCGGGACTAAATCCCGAACCCGTTCCCAGCCGCGGTCCAAGCAAACTATCCTAAACGACCCACTGCAATCCATGAGTTGGGTCCGCAGACTTCCTTGCGCCGCCTCTCACCCCTAATTCCCTAATACAGTAGCAGCACAGCAGAATTTGCATTTTCTCATCGAGCGGCAGAGCCGGTGCCGCCGACGGCGCTGATGCCGCCTTTCACATCGGTTGAGCTCCGGGTCGTTCCGGGCTTGGATCTGCAAATTAAAATGTACCATCGAGGCTGGTGTCACGACACCTCGGGATTCGCGGGTTTCATAACACGGAGTCCTATTGGCACCACTACTTCGTCCTTCCGGTCTTGCTACTCTAGAGTTTCTCCGTGAGGACCGCTAGCTTTCGGAAACGGCCTTCCTTTGGCTTCTTGTGGATGATGCCGACAAGCACGTCACCCACCTCACTTGCTTGCAAGATTGAAAAAAGCACCAGCAGGATTCGGATGGATGTGGTCAGGCATGGCAGCATGGAGATGTTTGGAACATGTGGCATTCCACATGCTGGCAGCCTTTTAAACAAGCAGTTGTGTGTACGGTGATGCCGTTCACATGGTGCACCCTCTGGGTTTGGTTGCACATCCTGTGACGACCTCCCGATGTTACGCTGCTATATCAGGGAAGTCCACCATGCAATTGCCATCAGTTGCCTACCAGGGAAAGAGCGGCCTTCGTCTTTGGGTTTGAGGGGCAGTTCTGCCCGAGATGCCATGTTGTAGCGCAGCTCGCCTTCGACAATTCGAGGGCAGAAACCTCAGCTGGGATTCCAAAGCTAGCGCGGTCTTGAGGTTTCCTCCGAAGCCCGAAGCACTTCCTTCCAGGCCTTCCCCGATTCCCAGCGATGACGGCGGTGATGATGACCGGTATGATGGGCATGCGATGATGCTGATGCTGCTGCTGATGGGGCCGTCGTTGCCAGGGAGGTGGACGAAGACCCGAAAAAAATGCAATATGTAGTATATATGCCTTCTTTAAACCCATCTACACCTCCCAAGCTCATCGGAAACCGAGCCTTCTTCAGACCCTTTCTTCTCGTCAGTTCAACCCAGCAGCGCTGGTCCACGAGCTGACCGCCGGCCTCCTTGCCACCCTCCAAATACCTCGACAAGTCGGAGGGAGTCGTGGTGGGGTTCTCGGCTCCAGGTTTGGGTTTCATAAAGTGTCATCACGCTTGTCTAGGCTGGGAAACAAGGCCTAGAAGGCGTTAAGCAAGGGTCTTCATGGGTTATGTCGGGGCAAGCATGTTTGTGGGCTTTGCGGCATTCGAGGAATCAGGATCGAATGCAAATGGAACCCACAACATGGAAAGCTCTGAGAACCCCCGGAGCCGTAAACTTTGCAACTCCAGCCGTTCCGAAGCTTGGGTCGGTTGGAATAGGAAGGCAAAGCTACTTGAAAGGCTTCTGCTCTGCTGAGCCAGGCTGGGGGAAGTCACGGTGGAGACAGCTTGCTCTGTTTGTTTGGATAATCCGCGTTGATGTCGGGTTAAACGATCCGTGCTCCGCCATGCTGGGATTTTCTTTGCGGTCTTTCCAAGAAGGCCAAACAACCGAAGCCTGAGTAACTGTGGCAGACTCTTACATGGAACAACTCATCTCAACCATAACAAGAAGCTCTGCACAGTTTCGGGTGCGATCTCGATAGCTGTGTGCGTTTGGGAAGTGCTGGCATTTCTGGCGTCGTCTCACATCGGATAGGTTGGGGTATCGGGCTTCAGGATTTAACACTTTGCGACTGAGGGTAGGGAGTAGGATGGCGCAGGCTTGAGGCTGCAGGTTTCGTACTCGCGGAAAAGCAGATGATATCAATCTGTCGCCAAGATTCTTGCCCACGCCCTTGGAAGCCCAGGTACCACTCTTGCCTTGGACACACAGTGTGCACTGCGACGCTTGAACCCACTAAGCCAACATGCATCTTGATTCATCTTGAGGTCATGAACAAGAAAGGCATGACGCTGGAGAAGGGGGTCCGTGCATAGCAGACACGTCACTAGTGCGGCCGCTGACGCAGAACTCGATGAACTCTCCGACGGTGTGCCTTGTCTGACCAGTTGCCATTGGAGGGCTCCGGCTCCGGTTGAGGCTTCAGAGCTCTCCAGGCTTACACATCAGCTTGCTTGCCTACGCCACAGGACTGGCTCAGCAAAGTCCGCAAGAGCCCCGACGGCCAAAACTCCCCAAGCCCTCAGACACCCCGTCCCAAGCCGTCCCAAGCCGAGAGAGAGATTTCCCCCCCCCCCCCCCCCCTCCTAAGCCATTTGGGCAAAGCCATTTGCCAAAGCGCTCTTCGGAGTGGTTGTCGTTGGCCTCGGCACGGGGGACACGGGCGGGGCCGGGAGTGCCGGGGGTGCTGGGCTGCGACCTCTCAAGTGGACCTAAGACTAAGACTACACTGCAGCTTAGTAGTGGCTTCTAGTAGCTCCCAAAGTGTCATCGGGCTCCTCGGCTCCCCAAAGCTGCTTTTAAGAATCTAAAGCTGACGGCTGAGACGGAACATCTTCTACAGATTCTACAGCCACTATCACTACATACTCATCTTAAACAGCTGCGCCGCTGCATTAGACCATACTGTGCTTTGCGTCTGCCAGTCTGACAGTTCGCCTGATTCGTCGCGTCATTCGGCGCTTGAGCGATGCGAAGACTGTCGAGGCTGCAAGTCCACTGGACTCGCCCTCCGGCACTGTGCAAAGTGCCGTGACCAGTTGCGCTCATCCCGAACTCGAGGCCCTCACCTCCCAGACCCATGGCTCTCGCCCTTTAGGATCTTGAGTACCAAAACCACGCAGACTGCGAAGATCCCTTAAGTCAAGACCCCAATAACTGCTCATGAAGGGCCTCCATGAGGTCCAGCATCTCGTCGTCACCGCAAGAGCGCTCGCCATAGGACTTGCCTCAATGCCGGCATCAGGAAGCTTTGCAGGAACCTCAAACTCCTCAAGCCCATACAGCCACTACTCACTAACCCTGTTCAAAGCCCACAAACCTCTGCTGTACAGTGTGGCGAGCTTCTCAGCTCGTGCTTCGCCAAGGTGCAGTAGTCTCCTGACTTCAGCTTGATGATCCAGATGCCCTCGCCAGAGGACCCGCGGTTCCTCGGCTGCATACAAATTCCCTAAACCACTCCTCGGCGAAAGGAGGCTCAGAAAGAGCCAAAAACCGCAAACCGCCGAGGCGCTGCTTGATGACGCGCGGCTGGAAAGCCATGGTCTTCTTGAAACCTCCCAAGGGCGCAGACTGCAATGCGCTGAGAGATGAGAGGTGGCGACTCCGTGGCAATGCGTGGCAATGCCTTGGGAAGTTGTCCTCCGTCAAACCGTTAAACCATGAGCCAGCTGGCACAGCCTAGCAGAACCCAACACCTCAAAATGCAAGAGCGGCCGGCCACCAGTGCAGCCGGTGTCGTTCGGGCGAAGAGCCGCTTAGGCCGGCCGCAGGGTCAGGGAACATGCCGACAGATGCCGAAGAAAGCGCCCGCATACGTAGTGCAGTGACATAATGCACGATAGTGCATGGGGTCCTACAGCGCGCCTGTAGCGAAATCCGCGGGGTCGTAGTAGGCAAGTGTGTCCTGCGCGTAAGTCCGCTGACTGCCCCTTCGAAGAGAGCAAAGTCTCAGGATTCTTCGATCGGATCCCAAAGGCTGACTCGCATTGGGCTGAACCTTGCACATGATGAAGATGACGGTGGTGGTGGCGGCAGCGGTGGTGCTGGTTCCGACGACACTTCAAGCATGAGCACGAAGAACAGCAACCGCATGCAGACTGCTGCTGGTGGCACGGCGACGACACGGAAGGATGACGACCACAAAGACAGCTCGACTACTTCCACGGCAACCACAACCATTACTGCGCTGCGAGACGGCGATATCATTCACTGCTCCGACGGGTACAAGCAAGACCGCGTAGCCACAAAGCGGGGCCTCAAGCCCAATCTTCAAATCGGCGATCTTGCACAGCGCATCCTGGAGGTTTGGTTTGGAAGGGAAAAGTCCATTTCGTGAGACTTGGAAGGCTTTGCTGTGCTTCGTGCTTCGTGGGGTTCGAAGGGGGTTGGTCCTAGTCCTACTGCGCGTGAGAAGAAAGGAACCTTCGCCGCGTTTTTCCCCAAGCAAAGCATCGGGAGAAAACGCCCGGGGCCAGGCCTTGGCGCCCATGAACTCCATGACGTCCGGGGCGGGCCAGACCTGGGCGGAGCGGTTTAGGCCCTGAGTGTGTTTTAGATCTTCCCGGGGCGGCGTTGAGGTTCTGAACTGAGGAGGGCCCTGTGTTTAGGGGCACGTCTTCGGTGCCTAGAATCGTCGATCTCTCGTCGGCACTCCAGTTACGGCGCCGGGCCTGGATGTCCTGCTTGCGCAAGGCGCGCATGCCGTCGTCGAATTTGCCCTGGTCACCTGCAAACGAAAAACGGGGCCCGCAGCCAGTGACGAAACAGCGCTCCAACAGCTCAGAACTGCGACGAAGCAACTCGGCTTGGCTTGGGGTTCAGAACCATGCTGCTGGGCTCAACGGTTTTGGATTGCGACCTGGCACCCCCCATGTGGGGAGCCTCCGTCAGCCTTGATCTGACCAGGATTGCATCGCACAATGATCGCATCGAAGTTCTTGCACACCTCGAAGAAAGTGTCGTGCTCCTGTCGTCCGGATTATGCATGCGCCTTGCCGCGACCTGACATTACACTCCTCGGTCCAACAGCAGAATCTTCGGATTGTGAGTATTTTAAGTCTCCCTCGGATGTATGAGCAGCAACAGGCCGGGCTTCTGACGGCACTTGGTCCGAACTCCCGCATTTGTTCAACTTCGTTTAAAATTTCGGTGCCTCATGCACGTAGTGAATGAGCTGGCAGCTCATGCCAGCACCAATCATACCATTGGCAAAGGGAATGCTGTCATAACCTGGGCCCGGGCACAGTCCAAAAAAGCCTAAAGCCCCCCTTTGCAGGTCCCAGAAGCGATGGCCGTTCGAGCTCTTGTCGCTGCCTGGCCGAAAGCGGCACTCAGACAGAGGCTGCTTCAGAAAGTAGACACAAAAGCATTGATCCGATCCCCTTTTTATGCTGTCAGGCTGTCAGTCACAAGCCCTGATAAACCCTCCCTGCGGGCCCGTCCAAAACCCTTTGCGAAAACGCTTCGACCCATAGTCCGCCACAGTCCGCCTGAGCAAACCTCATCCATCCTCTTCCTATCCCTCCCGACCGCCTCCGAACGGCTGAGGGCGCACGTAGATTCCGACCAGACAGGTCCTGAACCTGCCGCAACAGAACGCACTCTTGGGTTGGAACTCCATGGACGTACTCGCAACTTAGCGTATGAATGGTGCTGGTGGAGATGCTTCCGTCCCGTCCCGTGCTTTATACAAGGCTTCCCTGATAAACTTGACACGTCCTGGCACACTTGGTAGAGAAAATACCCTAATCCTGACTTTCTCTGGATCGCGCACCCAAGGCTGAAACTCCCGTAAAACCCCTCTTCCAGCAAACTTCACACCGCAAGCCTCCATGCCACAATCCCTGCAAGTCTGAGTGGTTCATGCGCTGTTCCGATCGACATCACCACGTCGGCAGGATCGGACGTGCTGGACATCGGGGGATTCTGTCCGGGCCGCCTGGGCTTCAGTGGCTGTGGCAGCAAACCGAGGTCGTCCTTGGACCTGGGCGTCGGCACTTTGGGATCGCTACGTCCAACAGCCAACAGCTACCCGAAACAACGACCGTCAAACCGCTTTCGAGTAACCCTTGAAAGGAGCGTGCTGAAATACAATGTATTTAGACCTGGACACTTACAATTCTGAGCATGTGGACAGGTACTAATGCATATACAAACACATTCGTGCATATAGACTTGTTGGCACATTGGTTGCTCGAACTATAGCTCCACAAAAGACCAGTAAACAGCAACTCCTGCAAAAACCTTCTTGCTGGGGTGGCACCCTCTTGGCAGTAGTGCCTTCCCTCCGCGACAAGGCGCGAAACGCAGTAAGCTTAGGGTTTAAGGCTTAAGGTTTAGGGTTTAAGGTTTCGGGTTTAGGGTGTGTTGTTTTTTGAACGTTTTTTCCTTTCGCCTGGTACAGCTGATCGGAATCCATTTGTGTGGAATGCTTGCGCCCCTTGTTTAGGGTTTAAGGCTTAGGGTTAGGGTTTAGGGTAGTTTAAGGTTTAGGTTAGGTGTGAATCCCCACATGTCTGCATCTTTCGGTCGGCTTCCTTATATAGACTTGACTACATGATTGTCTGCAATCTACGACGCAAATGAGCTGGAACTTAGGGCTTCTGGCAGCAGGCTGTGTGCGGTGCTGGCGAGTTTTTGTTCACGGCCTCAAACGGTGACGCCGACGTGGAAACTCCAAGCCTGACCTAAGACACTGTAGTCACAGCAGTGGTTTTGTAATCGTTCTGTGTTTAGAGCTCTAGCAGAAGCTTTTATTACATTTCTTGATCATTGCATGTTTGGAGTGTTTTCAATTTGCTTGGTTCGAATAGACTAGGATCCAAGCAATGAGTCTAATTGGCAACCTTGCTTTTTCATTTTTACTTCATTGAAAAAAAAGACCGCCAAAAAAAAACATACAACGTTCGGGAAACAGACCCGATATGCAATGGCACATTCTGCGCTCTGTATCCAACAATCGGCAGATCAGGAAATTGAGAAGGGTTCTGCTAGAACTCTAAACACAAAACGATTACAAAACCACTGCTGTGACTACAGTGTCTTAGGCCAGGCTTGGAGTTTCCACGTCGGCGTTGCCGTTTGAGGCCGTAAACAAAATTCGCCAGCTCTGCACACACATTCAAAATTGCTCTAGTCGTTGGGAGGAGTTTAACAACAGGCTATATAATAGCAGTAATTATAATTATGGAAGAAATACTGCAGCTGCAGACAATAAAAGTGTTCTAGTCGGTGAATCAGACAAGCACTCCGAAAGCCGAACTGTTGCTAAGGGACTGCCCGACTGCTGTCAACAGAAGCAGGTCAGAGCCCGACAGCTGAAGAGTTTCGAAACAATGTTTTTCGCAAATCCTTGCCCTGTGTTTTCTTTTTCCTCCATTCCATCACCAACGCCTGCACTATCGCAGATCCCAAAACAGCCGGGTATTGAAACACTGATCGGTACTGAATATGAGACAGCAAGATCATGTCACAAAGTTTTTCAACGACTCGCAGAATTTGTCACAGAATTCCACTCCCCAGAGCAGCTTCGAAACATTCCATAGATGTGAATATCAATGTATGCTCTTGCGTGCATCTATGTCAGAACATATTTAGATTACGCATACATATACAGACACGTGCATTTAATTTTCGGCATACACGAAAATGTAAACCTGTAACGATCGAAGCTACTGGGCCTGCTCTTTCTTGAATGCTGGGACGCAATTTACCCACCAGCTCATCTCTTTAGGTTGCGAGGTCCTGCGGCGGGAGGGGACCTGCTTCTGCCTTTGCCTGCCTTGCCTGCCTTTCCTTTGCCTTTGCCTTTGCCCTTGGCTTGGTTTGTCGGTACGCCTCTGATTGAGCGGTCTAAGAACAGTCTCAGCGGGCAACCCTCGATAGCCCTCAGGAGCGGCCCGGATATCTGTACTAAGTCTACTAAGACCTGGCTCGCCTTCGCCCCTGTCAGACCCGGCTTTAGCCTCAGAAGGAAGTTATTGGACCCGTTTGGTCCGTGGCGATAGATACCTAAGCAGGAGGATTCTGTCACAACGACTCTTCGAGTTCCAGGGCCGGTGGGCGGGTTCCCAAGACTACAGTGGCGAGTGAGGTAGCGCCGTCGTTTAGAGCTGGGCGAAGTTTGCCCGCTGGATCATCTCGTGCCGCGGCTGCTGTTTCCGACGCCAAGGAAACGGTGGGAGCGCACCACCTGTCTGCAGGCAGCGCCTCCTTCAAAGATCGAATAATTACGGGGATAGCCTGCTTCGGGAGTTCAACGGCCGTGTCCCAGCTAGCTGGTCGCACAGGGTTTCCACCTGTCTGCTGGTAGGGCTTCTTTGAGCGATCTGCAGATTCTGTTGATGGCCCGTTTAGGAACTCCCGTAATTTTCTTATTTGTCAGCTGGTCACACAATGTCCCTAATGCCATGAAGCCGACAAGCACCACTCGCAGTGGTTGCGTCAACCGGTTTACGTCCCGACGTAGGGCGTCCACGTCCGCCTGGCTTGGCATCTTTGGATGCTCCTAGTCGGGCTGTTGCGCAGGCGGGGGCTTTTGCTCTTACTCTAACATTTGAGCCGAGGGACCGGCCGCGGCGGCGGTGTTGCTGGGACGGGTGCAGGGTACAATCATGCATCGCATGGGGCCTCTTCCGGCTTGTCAATCAACTGTTGTGAACCGATAGCAGCTGTGATCACTGTACGGGGAAACGGTGTTTGTCCGACTCAAGGACGAGTTTGAGGCCTTCGGTACATGTGTATGCATGTGTGGCGTCTGAGAACGCTGGCGGGCCTGAGGACCCTGTACACGTACATGTGCTCATGTGGCGCCCGAGGACCCTATGCACTCGCATGCATGCATGTGGCGACTGAGGACACTGCCGGACGTGAGGACCCTGCACACTGTGGTGTGTGTGTGTGTGAAAAACATGAGGTGCATCGAAGAGATCCGTGACAAGCGATTGCGCAAGGTGTGAGCTTGAACGTGCGATCACTGATCGCGTGACAGTCTGCCTTGTTGTTATGTGTGCATGTGTACTGTTTTCGAGCGCGTGGTGGTGGTATGCCACAGCCCATAAACCTTTGCATGTGCGATCGATCAAACGGCTTTTGACATAGAAATGGCTGTCGTAAAAAACTGCCAATGGTCAGATCAACATCCGACGGGACATGTCTCTGCATGTAAAACGACCAAGCAACCATGAT